TCTTTCTTTCTTTCTTTCTTTCTTTCTTTCTTTCTTTCTTTCTTTCTTTCTTCTTTTTTAAAGATTTTATTTATTTATTTGACAGAGACAACAAGAGAGCAAGCACAAGCAGGGGGAGTGGGAGAGGGGGAAGCAGGCTCCTCGCTGAGCAGGGACCCCAATGTGGGGCTCAATCCCAGGACCCTGGGGTCATGACCTGAGCTGAAGGCAGACACTTAACTCCAGGGACCCCAACAGGTCTATTTCTTTTTTTTTTTAATTTTTTAAAATGTTTTACTTATTTATTTATGAGAGTGAGAGAGAGAGAGAGAGAGGCAGAGGAAGAAGCAGGCTCCCCACCTAGAAGGGAGCCCGATGCGGGACTCGATCCCAGTACCCTGGGATCATGACCTGAGCCAAAGGCAGACGCTTAACCGTCTGAGCCACCCAGGTGCCCTAACAGGTCTATTTCTTGTGCATGTCCTACTCTCACATGGTTCAGGAAGTCCTCTTCCAGGTGGCGGCTCAGAAATCCAGCTTGCTTTCATCCTGCAGCTACTGTATTGCAACCATAGCATCCGTGATGCCTAGTTCTCAATGTCATCATGGAGGGTTTAGGGTGACTATGGGGATTGCTTAAGGGAATTATTGGTGAACATCATTTCCCTCATATCCATTGGCCATATCAGTCATATCATTTCAATTTAGTACAAAGGAATCTGGGAAATGTAGTTGCCTGTGTGCTCATAGGAGGAAAGGGATTGGTGAACATCTGACAAGTCTCTGCCACAGAGAATGAGTAGCCCATTCAAGTTGTCAGTTTAGATGGACTTACAGGGCCCACGCTCTTAACCATCAACTATTCCTTATGAGGAAACATTTGTAATGCAATGTGTTACGTAAAGCTAAGCACGGAAATAAACATGAGAGTGCGAAAGGAGGGCACTTTGTAGTTAGCAAGTCTTTATCAAACTCATACCACAATCACATGTAACACAACAAAGTTTGGCATTTGTCCTGAGTACTAGATGATGTGTTAACACTGCACTTGGTTGGTGTGCCTGGGTGGGTCAGTCAGTTGGGTGTCTGCCTTCAGCTAGGTCATGATCCCAGGGTCCTGAGATCAAGCCACAGGTGGGGTTCCCTGCTCAGCGGGGGTCTGCTTCTCCCTCTCCCTCTGCTGCTCCCCCTGCTTGTGTTCTCTTGCACTTTCTGTCAAACAAATAAATAAAAAATCTTAAAAAATAAAAAACACTGTGCTTATAATGAAATATTTCTTTGTAAAGGGAAAATAATTTTTCATAGTTTTATTATACTGTTGTTTATATAGCTCACCCCAAAAAGGGAATAAACTCTTTATGCTTTTTACTCTTATTCAACTTTAAAAACTAAAATAAAATTTACACATGAAAAATAAGCATTTCTGAAAAAAACAGTAAAATTCAAACGTACATAATAACATGACAAGTAAGATTTTGCTGAAACTAAATTGCAGTTCCCATTGTGACTATGATTTTGATTGTTTTGTTGCCATTCCTTTAATTTCTGGCATGACCCAATTGCTGGTTGCCCTCTGTGGCTTCAAATTTCCTACCATTTTTTCCTATTTTAATAGGTGGGAAACATTCAGTCATGTAGCACTTTCTAGTATCATTTGGCCTTCACTTGGCTTTGATGCAAAATACAGTATTTACATGTAAAGTTGGGCTCTGTCTTGTATTTATTTGCCTGTGGCATCTAAAGTAGAATTGCCTGCAGGCAGCTTAATTATAAATGAAATGCAAACACGGGCACTAAAATTGTCTAACAGAACTCACAAATGTAATGGATATCCTTTCAGTTTGGACCTTGGCAGATTTCTAAGAATACTTGGGGACATAGAGGGACCTGTGAACAAACTGATATGGAAGGCCTTAGGGGGTGGCTCTTTAAAACCAGAGAAATAGCTTCACTTGTTTTTCTTAAAAAAATAACGGGGAAGAGTTTCCACAGAAGACTTGGAGCAGCTCTAGTTTTTGATCGCTGGAGGAGGCTGCATGTAATCTCAGCCAGCCTGGAATTCGATTCTTCATTTCCAATCCTGGTACTTTATTGTACCGGATTTGTAA